GGAAAGAAGTTACACATAAACCGGTTGAAGTGCAGAAACTGGTTTAAACTTGAAACAAAACAGAAGTTTCGTGAACAAAAACTAGTTTGGTTTAAGATAAACCTGGTTTAAGATAAACCTGGTTTAGTATCAGACTTAACTGAGTTAGGTCAAACCAGTTTATGAAACTTCTGTCCCAGACTCCTTGCTGGTTCAAGTTAAATCAGAGTCCCCAAGCATCCCAGCTTGCTTTACAGCCCTGGTGGGCTGTGCTGTCTGCTCCAGAGAGCAGGGCTGGCCCCACCCCTCTGCTCCCTAGCTGGAGCAGTGTAAACTGGCTCACTAGCTGGCTCATTGCTGTCCCTCCCCCCACCTCCCTCCCAAGCAAACCCTGGCTGGGGTGTGGGGCCAGGGAGGGGAAAATTCTGCTTCCCCTGAGTACAGAGTTGCCCTGCCTGGTGGCTTTCTTAGTGCTAGCTGCGACTATGGACTACAAATCGTACAGGCATCTAGAAGTAGGGAGAGAAAGTGATGAACAACCCCATAGAGTCCTGCTGCTGTGATTGTGGACTGCAAATCCCAGAGCCCTCCGGAGCAGCAGGAAGAGGAAGCAAATGCACAGCCCATGCTAGCTATGTGCCAGAGAACTGTGCTCTAGTGCCCCCTGGCTTGAGCCACTGCAGGCTCCTGAATTCCTGATTTCCTGAATCAAAAGTGAGTGTCTGTTCATTTGCTTATTGGTTCAATCTACACAGCTTAGATGAACCTACAAAGGCTGAATCAAATTTAGCCTCAGGCTTTTTGACTGTCTGTACTTAGCCATATTGTCCACCTTGTCTCTGGAAATAAATCTTGAAACTGCTTCATTATCTCAGTGGGGCATTTATTCCAGCCTAACAATGGTTTTGATATCAATGCTATGAACAGTTTCACTGCTGATAATTTGCAAGACCATGTGCCTACTCCAGGTGCCAGAGTTTGGGTTTGTCGGTGGCAGAGAATTGGGGCAGAGAGCCCCCACCATTGTGTTCCCTGCAGTTCACTGGCTTTAGCTTTCTCACCATGTAAGCTTTCAGAATGCCTGCTGGTCAAAATAGGCACAGCTTGCCTTTGAATACTTCCTTCAACAGAATCCAGATATCCATGGTTAGTATTTGTTTGAGAGGTTTTCTTCATCCAAGATGTCCATCACTTTCTGTTCAATAACAAGGTGTTGGCCAAAATGCTGAGGTTTTGCTTTTCAAATGCAGCTGTTTTGTACCAAGCCATTGACAGCAGAGTTGCTTTGGAAAGCTAGGGGCCGCTCCCTCTGAGATCATTATGTTATTCTTTCCATTGTCCTGCTTTCCCTTCCAAACATCTTCAGGGAGAGACATTCTTTGCGTGTTGCTTTAGACAAGAGACTTTAAAGTCTCATTAAAAAAAACATATTTAAAAAGTATAACCACTTATTTACTGAACCAGTGACCTTCAGTGATTGGCAGCCATTAAAGGACTCTTCAGAGAGGGTGGGCAGAGCCTTGAGCTCAAAGAACAACTCATTTATTGAATCAAATGCTTTAGTGATTAATAATAAATTTTAATTTGTAGGCACCCATGCCTCCGAGCCTTTAGGCATCTTAAAAGAAGTAACAAAAACAAAGCTGCAATCAAACTAGGTAGTTTGCTTTGTTAAGGAAAAGACACAGTAGCCAGAGCCTAGGTAACGAACCTCCCCACCCAAATGTACATGTTAACTAAGCAGGATATAAAGGGCACCAGCAGATTTTGAGCTGTTGTGCCTTTAGAGCAAAAGATCTTCCATTCATTGCCTTGACTCCCTCTGATATTCTATATAGAACTCATGAGCGACTGGTACCTCCTGAATCTGGGGGGGGCACCCGCAGAAGCCACCAATGGCAGCGGCCCTGTCAGGGGGTGCACCAGCCCTGCCAACAGCATCAGTGTCGGCCATCGGATGGGGGCACTGGCCCCATCATGGGGGGCACGTGCATCTCCTACCAGTTGCCTATGGTAGAGCTCCTACGAGCCAGGCATTAGCTGTTTTACAAAGCAGTTCTTTTGATAGTAGAGCCAGTTTCATGCTCTCATTTTTCTTAGGAGTGTGGCGGGCCAGTAGGGGGGCGCTCCTGCGTTGAGCCGCCCACCTCCCTGCATCCGACCACCTTCCAGGCTCCGAGTGCCTCCCTTGGGGTGCCTCACGTCCGGCCGACCCCTTCCCTGGAGCACACCTGCTAGCCTGGGGTTCCCGCTGCCACCATCCAAGGCTCTGGACTCAATTCTGGCTCTGCGCACCTTGGAGAACACAGGCCTGATCGTCCAATGGGTACTAGACCCAATACAAGCACTTGGGGCACTTCCCCAAGTCAGGGGCTTATTAGGAAAGTCTCCCTTAGTCCGCAGACCTAAGGGGCCTCCTCAGCATAATTTAGACCCACCCCTCAATAAGTCTCCCACACCGGTCACAAAGGAGAACTTTATTGATTACAGGGGTAGGGCGGAAACAGGGTAAAAGGTAGAGCAATATCAGAGGAATCCCATAGAGCAAACAGGGCACTCTTGGAGCATGTGGTGATGAGGAGAGAGCCAGTTTCAGATTCACCTGGATGACCGCATGGCTAATGGCTGCCCTTCTTCCTGGCCTGAGCCTTTAAATAACCTCTCTGACCTCAGCAGCCCGGTCCAATCGAAGCTGCCAATACTGGCCACAAGCCAACCAATCTACAAAGCATCCCTGGCTACCTGGGCCCGCGCTCAGGGCCGGGCTTTTTCCCCCCTGCCCAGGTGACCAGAGTATCCGCCTCCCAGGCACCAGGCTTTTGTCATGTAGACCAGGGAGGGAGATCCCCCGCCCTGAGGGATTCAACACCAGCCTCTCACGCTGGCAGAGATAGGTCTCTGGAGAGGGGCACCGACAGTGGCATTTCTGCCACAAGGAGTAGTGGCAATGTGGTATATCTCTAACTGGAGTTAGGCTGCTTTTCTTCCTGAAATTCACAGTGTCCTCATAATTTTTAGAGATCTCTCCCATATTCTGTGATTCTAGCTGAAGATATAGTTAGTTAATGATTAATGTGCTGATGCATTTTGGGCATCATAACTCAGTGCATCAATGTAACCGCTTATCTTTTTTTGTGTGTAAAGGTAACTCACAGGAGAACACAAACAACATGCTTAGAAGTTTGGTGATACAGCAGATCCCCCTAGATCAGTTTGATACAGTTTAGTACAGCTTTTTAGTTCAGTCAGAACATCAAAATCTGACTTGGGAAAAGTCATCCATGATAGTCCTCTCCATAAATAGGTATATACCTTTATGGTTAGAGTTACAAAAATAACATGTTAAGTCTTGGTGGGAAGTCACCTGTAACCCCTAGATAATTAAAACACCAGCAGTGTAACCTTAAAGTTTGATTTGAAATGCACTGTAGCAGGACAAAGAGTCATCATTTTGTTTACCTTAGTTTACTTCAGTGAAGAATATATTGTAAAAACAGATCTTTCTATCTAGGTGAGAATGTTATCGTCATAGTCCCAGGAGCCAACTTGCTTGTGGATTCTGAAGACCTGAAGAGAGCTGCTGATGTCATTTGTAAGGCCAAAGTGATTGTTTGCCAGCTAGAAATAACACCTGCAACATCTCTTGAAGCCCTGAAAATGGCACATGCCAGTGGAGGTAATTGAACATAAGCTTTAATCATTCATTTGTTCGTTAGATTAGTGCTTTTACATCCCTCACATCAGTCTCTGCAAGAGTGTTCTTTATCACCGTTTTTGCAAGAATATTGCTATTGTCCGTTTGATTTCTCTTATTGTAGCCTCCATTACAGATAGATCAGTGGCTAACTCCATGCCACTCTGATAAAACTTAAATTCTTCTTTTTTTTAAATATATCACACTGCATATCATGTAAGACAAGCCATCCCATTCCTTTATTTTATGCAAACCTCCCACCTATAGCCTCCATGTCTGATTTTGTCTTTGCCTGTATTGTCATGTCATGTCTAACCAAGATTGTAATAAACTTAGGGTAAACTTCTGAATGTGATCTCCTAATAGAATAAAACAGGAGAAGTGAAATTCAAGTCAGTGGCATTCCATTCATATGAAACTAATAATACAAGTTGAAAATTGGGCTTTGTACCACTACGCTGCCAGCACAGCACCACATACTGTCCCTGAGGTACTATAGCAGAACCTGGATTTATATATATAAATGTTGTTCACAATCCACTTAATTTGCCTTGGGTTGCCAAATTAAGGATGAGCCACTCAGATGTTTTGCTGTAGTTTTTACTTCAGAAAGTGGCACTTCTCCACTCATCTAATTCTCATCAGCAGTCTTGCACAACTGATTGGAGAAGCAACACTTTTTGAAGCAAGAGTGGAAGCAAACAACTGAAACACTGCAGCAATTCCCCAGAGCTATTTGCTGTTTTTATATACATATACGTGATGTAGTTAGCTATGTTAGACTGAATTCAAGTAGAAGGCAGGGTGGATTTGCACTTTATAGTCTAATCAAAGAGTGTGTGTGTGTGTGAATAGAGAGGCAGGCAAACAGATGGATAGATAGCAAAAGCTTTCATGAGCTGAAGCTCACTTTATCACTTCATAGCATCTTATGAAGTGAACCTCAGCTTACGGAAGCATATGATAGATAGATAGATAGATGTGTGTGTAATCAAATTCATATATGTGTGTGTGTGTGTGTGTGTATACACACAGCATGTCTACATGCGCATTAATGCTCTATAACAACAGGTACTAACTTAATACGACATAATCTGTGCTACTGTGCAGTAGCACCAGCACACATCTTTTACATGAAACTAGTGTACAGTAGACTAATTCTACTGTGCATTAGCACAGCTTTCACCATGATGTGCTAATGCGCAGTAAAATTAGTCTACTGTGCTTTTAGTGTCTCGTGTAGATGTGCTCACTCACACACGTTTGGTAAGTCTGTAAGATGCAGATCTACCCTGCCTTCCATTTTATGTACTGGCTATTATGCAAACCCTCATCTTTGTAGCAGCCTAAGGAACCTAATACTGCAAAGTATCTGGGTTCTTCTCTGCGTACAAACAGCAACACTAAAAAGGCTTATTTTCATTTTGACTATGTTACCTGTTTAGCCAAGGTTCTTTGTCTATTCAGTGTGTGATATGACATGCTAACACTGAAGTTAATGTCACCAACTGGTACTTATGTCTCATTGTTACTCTGTTTTTAAATGCAGACTGTTTTAGTGACAGTGGACTCTGCCACTGAAGAAGTATGTGAGCAAAAGCTGTTATATTTTTCTCAGAGGATGCGGTTATTTGTTTGATAAATTTATGTAATACTTCTAACTACCCATAACTACCGCAGTCCTTTAAGTAATACCGAGCAAAAGATTAAGTTACTGAGATGATCACATGAGATTAAAATGTTAGTCTCAGGAAAACATGTCTGAGAGGTTACAGTGAACTGTTTGAGCAAGGCTGCAGAGGAGATCAGTGACAAGAGGTAGGATGAGAATGAAGTAGCTATCTGTTCTCATTCCCATGGG